TGCAGGAGGGGAACAAACAGAGCGGCACAGCCCTCCCAGGAGCTGGCGTTAGCCTGGCCTGCAGCACGCTGCACCGGGGCAGCTCTGCAGCAGGGACAGGATCCCGGGAGCTGCCGGCTGGCTGGGCACGGTGGGCTGTGCCGCGGTGGGGAGGGCGGCTGGCGGCACACGGACAATGGGGGGTCAGGGAGGTTAAATGGTGACTAATTCGTCCATTCAGCGTCCCCTCTGCCGCGCAGGGACACCCGCCGTGCTGTGACACCCGCCGTGTTGGGACACGGCCCACATACCCCCAGGGTCACCCACATGACAGCTGCCCCCAGCCTGGCTGGGGGACACCCAGGGGGTCTCAGGTCTCCCAGACTTCTGGGCTGATAGTGAGAGACTGGGGCTGGGTTTGTCAGTGAGCCCCGGGAGCACCGAGGGCTCTACGGCCCTCCAGGTCCCACGGCCCGAGGAGGGGCCACCGGTGGGGAGAGGCACCTGTGACCAGGCTGTGTCCCCCATAGAGGGGACAATGCTGGGAACCTGCAGGAACAATGGTGCCGACGGGAAGCTCCCGGGCCCCCTCTCCAGCTGCCCCCACGGAAGCGGCCCCCCAGCCCGGCCATGCTCCGGCGGCAGGAATCCCGCCGGGCCGGTCAGTGGAGTCACCGACAGCCTGGCCGTGTGGGCGAGGCTCCTGCGAGCACCATCCCACATGAGCAAGGTGTTGGGGGGGTTTTGGGGAGGGGACACACGTTCCTGCCCCCAGCAGCCCCTTCCCAAGGTGGGCTGTTCCTTTGGGGGCTCGCAGAGGATTAGGGATGGGAACAGCCAGAAGTGACTTGTCCCTAAGCCAGGCACTTTATCTGAAGAGAGATCTGTGCTGGGGCGGACACTCCTTTTGCCCTTATCGAGAGGGATCGGCCCCAGCAAACCCAACACCCCATGCCCAGAGAGGGGCTACAGCCTCGGGCACCCCCAGCCCTGACTCAGCCACTGCTTTACGGGAAACCACATCCCAAGCGCCACCGAAACGCCGCGGCCTGGGGCCCTTGTTAGCCCTTCACTCTGGTTTTTACAAATTACTTTCTTTTTCTGAATAAGTGCCCTCCTCGACCCCACTGCGGGTCCTGGCGTGCTAGAGGCCAGGGGCTGCGTGCCGGCTGCGAGCAGGATGGGAAACACACCATAAACTTGTTTATTCTTTGTTAAAGAACTCGTTAGAGCGCACGGGCTTTTCCCCAGCCCCTCATGGCCCCTCGGCTGTCCGTGGGACAAAGGGATGCGTCCCTGGGGGCTGCTGAAGGAAGGAAGGAAGAAAAGGAGAGAAGGAGCCCCCTGGCCTGTCAACCCTGGCCCTGCTACCTGTCACAACACGGTGGGTACAACCCACCACTGCTCGCTTTGTGTTTTTTCCCTAAATACAGGAATTAGGGGGTTTTCAGCCTCTGGAAGGGGGAGGCTGCCACCAGCCCCTGTCCTTGCTGCAGTGGCCTTTGGGGTGTCTGTCCTCTGTCCTGGCTCATGATATGCTCGTCCCAAACTGGTTTCAGAGAGAAGGAGGAAAACCGAGAGTGTCGCCACTTCCTGCTGATGGAAAAGAAACTTGAAAATTAATCCCCAAGGCCTGAAAACCCGGAACTGAGTGGGGGAAGGGGGAAGTGTTTTTAGCTCAGACGTGGGCTCCTCCGTGATGCCTCATGGAGCAGACAAGGGACAAGGGAGTCCTGCTGATGGGGAGCCTGGTTCCAGCAGGACCCTGGGCATTCCCGGAGCCTTTCGAAATGGCCCTTCCCCTGCCGCCCGTGATTGCCCCCTTTGCCCCAGCTCGGGAGGGGGCTGTGGGGGGTCGGACCCCCTGCACGCACCACGCCCGTGCCGAGGGCTCTCCCGCATTCCTGGCATTGCCGAGGGGCCGCCTCCCGCCTGCCCTTTGAAAGCCAGCGGGTTGGGATTTTCCTGTAATCTGGTTTGAAACATTAATCCGGTCATACACACCAAACGCCGGGCCGGCATCCTGCCGGGGCGCTGGGCCGGGGTCAGGGCCACCCGCCCACCGCCTGCCTAATTCCTCCTCCTCTTAATTATAGATCTGCTGGCAACGGCCATCTGGCTCTGTGTCCTCAGCCGGCCGGGGGCTGGGGCCGAGGGGGCTGCGCTGCGGCCAGGTGGGCCGGGCACTGTGGCCAGAGCCGGCCGTGCCACTGGCACTGGGTGTTTGCCCTGGGCTGGGGGAGCGCTGGGTGCATGGAGCCGGATCCCCCAGCCCAGGGCGCCCTCAGGGAGGTGGGGGCCATCTCCTGCTCCCCAGCCAGGCTGGGGTCGCTGTGCCACGGCGTCCCCTGGCACCACGCTCTGCCATGGGGACCCATGGTAAGAGGATATTCCCGGGGCAGCTGCGTTATGGATTAAGTCGTTTCCACCTCCCTAATTACGAAACATAAATCTATTGACTCAGCGGCGCAGGGCGGCCTCACCCGCAGCAGTACCTTTGCCCTGAGCACTGAGACACCGCGAGTCCCCAGGAGGAGCCGGCTGCATGCCGAGCAGAAACCGGGCACGGGCACTGGGCAGGGACAAGACTCAGCACCTGCCGATTTCGGTGCAGCGGTGCCAGCAGCCGCCGGTCTGTGCCGAGCTCAGCTGCACGCTGGGTTTCACACACCCCTGAAACGAGAACATTTCTGTTCCCCAATTTGCATTTTGAGCCCCTCTGTCCCAGCTGTCCTGCGCTGCCGTTGGGGCTCGCAGGGTGCCAGCGGTGCCAGTGTCCTGGCAGAGCTGGAGTGGTGTCAATGCGAGGAAATCCTGCGGGAGGCTGCTGAGAGTCACTCTTCTCTGTCCCCTTCCACTTTCCTGCCTGCCTTGCCTGTGCCTGGAGGCAAGGGGGGCAGGGGTGGTGAGGGAGGATGGGAGGGACAAGGGTGGACAAGGCAGCTCTGCAGATGCCGCTCCGTCCCACACCGTGATGCACACCGAGCATGTCCCAATCAAGGCTGGGTACGTCCTTGCTCCGTGGCACTGCCAGCTGAGCACCCTGGGCAGCTTCCCATCGCTGGCAGAGCTGAACCAGGTCTAGGGGGGTTCTGGGGGAAGCCCCTGTCTCTGCTCTGGCGTGGCAGTGGCCGGTGAGCAGCTGCTGAGCGCAGAGGAGCTGTCGAGGTCTCGCCAGTAACCGTCAGCAGCAGCTTGTGCAATGTCCTCTGCTCAGCAGCCGCGGAGGTTGTGCTGACAGAGCCATGAGGACACCGGGTGGGAATGGGGATCCTTCTGCCCCCTGGCCCTGGGGACCCCCACGGCTTCATCCCTGTGGGGCGGAGCTCGGTGTGGGACCACCAGGGTTGGCAGGGTGTGTAGAAGGACGGCACACGAGTCAGGCACCCGCCGCAGCCACTAATCCCCCGGCCCGGCCGGCCACGCTTTCCTCAGCTGACAGTTAATTTTCTTTCATCCTCTTAAACACGTCCATTCCCCTGGGGACTGAGCCCGGGGGGGTTCGCAGCCCTGGGGGTCATGGCAGTGGATGAAGCAGCGCTTTCAGTCCTTCCCCAGGATGGCCCCGTGCTCCACACCCCATGGGATGGGGTGCCATGGAGGTCCTTTCTCTGTGTGTGGCTTTTGGAGCCACTCTGGGAAACGAGGGAGGCTGGGTTGGCGCTGGCCCGACATCCCTCGGCCGGCACGAGCAGCCGGTGCAGCTCAGCCCAAAAATCCACGGCGGTGCCGCCGTGCCGTGGCTCGCTCCCCACACACCGGGGTCCCACACCACACCCCATGCTGTGGGGCTGGGCTGGGACAAGAGCTTTGAGGGTCTCATCCGATGGTGCAGATGGTGCTGGTGGTTCCTGCCCTTGCCCTGGGGGTGTGCTGGGGGCGAGCCAAGCCTGCCCAGGTTCCCAGGGGAACTGGGGGGGTTTATGGTCCCCCTGCAGCGCCCAGCCACGCTTATCACGCGGCCCCACCGATCCCTTTGATCGGCGCCGGCGGGCGAGTCCAGCCCTGCAGGATCTGGATCCTCCCTGGGGGACGGCAGGAGGGGGGGCTCGCACCCCTTGCTTACAGCCAGCACGATGCCCACCCACCCAGCTGCCCACAGGTCCCAGTGTCACAGGGCATGCCCACGGAGGGAGTGGGACATTGGAGACCTGGTGACAGGCAGCAGCAGCCCTGTGTGTGTGTCTGGGGCGTTACGGGGGGGTATTTATAGCCCCCTCTCAAGCCCTCGGCCCCATTGGCAGTTGTTCAGAGTTGTCACTGAGAAAAGCGGGAGCTGTGGCCTCTGGGCAGCGCCTGCCCTCACAGCCCCTGCTCTGACACCCTTCCTGGGGTGGGGGGAGATTATCCACCAGCTTCAGGAGAGGCCACACGGTGTGGTGTGATGTGGCATGGTGTGGTGTGCCCCCGGTGTGCAGATCCTGTGCCGTAAACCAGGCAGGAATGTGCCGGGCTGGCAGGGCAGGGGTCCCGGCTGAAGATTCCTCAGCAGAGCTGGTGCTTGAGGGGCAGCATTCCAGAGCCTGGCCCAGCTCTGCCTGCCCTGGCACGGGACAGTGTTCCATGAGCTGTCACCACGGCACACGAGGCACTGTGTCCCAGCCCTGGCTCTCTCTGGCACCGTGGGTGCAGAGGAGGGGCTGTGCTGAAGCATTGCTGTGCTGAGCATGCAGTGAATGCTAAAAATAATCGGCATCAGCGTTCCTGGGAGGAACTGGGGCCGAGCATGGTGTTGGCAGCCTGGGAACTGCACCGACAGTGGCACCACTGATACCTCAGCTCTGGCATCCCAGGACCCAGCTCCAAGCGGGCAGGCAGGGGATGGTGGCAGCAGGTCATGGGCACAAGTCAGCGCCAGCCACAGGGACCGCAGGGACCCCACGGCCCGTGCAGGGACTGTTTGGTGTCCTGCAGGTTGAAGGGCTGCAGCCACACGGCTGCTGCAGCGGGAGCCAGGGGTCTTGGACAGGGGGACACACAGGCTAAGGGGGTTTCTGAGCATCTCTCTCCTCTCTGCACAGCTGTACGAGTTGGATGGGGACCCCAGGAGGAAGGAGTTCCTGGACGACCTCTTCAGCTTCATGCAGAAGCGAGGTGAGGCTCTCCCCACGCCCACCCTCCACCCCAGATGCCCCTCCCAGGACTCATTTTCTCGCCCCTCGTTACTGCCCTGGGGTCACAGCTCTGGCTGAGCTGCTGGTTAATCTTTAACCCCTCGGCACAGCAGGGTCAAACCTGCTGGGCTGGATCTGGCGCCTGCGGCCCCCCCTCACCCCTCTCCCTGCACCCATTGCACCCAGACCTGCGGCTCCTCCCCACAGGGTCTCCTCACACCTGAAACCCCCCTGGCTGTGCCCCCCTTTGGCCTCTTCCCTGGGTTATTGCAGGGGGCAAAGCCCCTCGCTGTCACCTCGCTCTGTCTGGGAGAGGCATGGGGGGCCGGGGGTGGGAAGGGCTGAAAGCCAAGCGTGCGCCTGGTCGAGGGTCTGGTTCCTGCGTGGAAAACAGCGCTGGAAGTGCTGACACAGGGCTGGCTCCGGCCCTTTGTCAGGCAGCGCTGGGGAAGCACGTGTGCCTCTGCGGGGGGGCCGGGGCTGCTGGCCGGGTCCCCCAGGGTCCCCCTGGCCCCTGGCTGTGTCCTCTGGGTCCCTATCGCTGCATCCCCTGGGGTCCCCCAGGGGCCCCTCACTGCGGGGCCAGGAGGGCAGGGACCCCCAGGAGGGAGCAGGGGCTTCCAGCCCCCTCCCTGTGGCTGGAGGGATGAGCCCCTCGGCTCACGGGACCCTCGTAGCCAGATCGTGCTGCCCCCATTATAAATAACTCACGTTGCCGGGTGCTGGCTCAGCCCGAGGAACCGGCTCAGCCACGGCAGGGCTGTGGCTGGAAACTGCGAGTTTCTGTTTCCTTTGTTCAGGGCTGATCTCAGCAGGGGGCCTGGAGGGGGAGAAGGGGATGGTGGAAGGGGAGGGAGGAGCAGGAGCCCCCCCACCCCCTCTGCTGCCCCACAGGGGTCTCGGCAGCTGCCCCGTGGCTGCGGGTGACAAAGCAGCACCCCAGACCCGCTCTCTCCTCCCGCTGCTCCCCAGGGACCCCCGTGAACCGGATCCCCATCATGGCCAAGCAGGTGCTGGACCTGTACATGCTGTACACGCTGGTGACTGAGAAGGGGGGTCTGGTGGAGGTCATCAACAAGAAGCTGTGGCGGGAGATCACCAAGGGGCTGAGCCTGCCCACTTCCATCACCAGTGCGGCCTTCACCCTGCGCACCCAGTGAGCGGGGGCTCGGCGGGAGGGGAGGGGGGAGGCCCTCGGGGGTCCCTCTGCCCTGCACAGGAGAGAGGGCTGAGCCTGACGAGGAGGGGACCGAGCCCTCAAGGGGCTCTTTCTGCTCTGCAGTGGGGCCAGGGGGCAAACCCTGGGGGTTCCTGTGCCCTGTGCTGGGGCTGGGGACAGCGGGGAGGAGGCAAGTCCTTAGTGGGTCCCCTGCCCTACGTGGGAATGGTGAGGAGGGAGGGAGGGAGAGAGGGAGGGAGGGAGGGGGCAGTACATGGGAAGGGGTGCCCAGCCGCTGCATCACTCTCACCATCCCCACCTGTCCCCGTCTGGCCGCAGGTACATGAAGTACCTGTACCCCTACGAGTGTGAGAAGCGTGGGCTGAGCAACCCCAACGAGCTGCAGGCGGCCATCGACAGCAACCGGCGGGAGGGCCGGCGGCAGGGCTTCGGCGGCTCCCTCTTCGCCTACTCACCCAGCGGCACCCACGGCCTCCTCTCCTCGCCCAAGCTGCCCGTGCCAGCGCTGGGGCTGGCGTCTGCCACCAATGGCGGGGCCATTGCACCGGGACAGAAGATCAAGAAAGGTAATGGCTGCTGCCGAGGGTCCAGCTGCTGCAGGGTCCAGCTGCTGTGGGGTCCCGTCACAGGCTGAGCCCCTTCCTGGCACCAGGGATAAGGGTCAGAGTTGGGGGCAGTGGGCAGGGGGGTGATGCTCCTCTCCCCTCCTTGGGCTCCAAGGCCTCAGCTCAGGGACCCCGACTCCAGTGACTCATCTCTGACCTTTGGAGGTGCCAGGCAGCCTCCAGCACAGCGGGACCCCAAACTGTTGTGCCAGGGACACCCCTGGGGTGGTGGCACTTGCCTGTCCCTGTGCCCCCATGTCTGACAGCTACTTCCCCCGCAGAGGAGGACTCCTCCATCCCGATCTCCATGCCCAGCCGGCTCCCGGTCTCCCTGGCCGGGCACCCCGTGGTGGCGGCGCAGGCAGCTGCGGTGCAGGTGGCGGCGGCTGCTCAGGCGGCGGCGCTGGAGCAGCTGCGGGAGAAGCTGGAGTCGGGAGAGCCCCCGGAGAAGAAGCTGGCGCTGGTGACAGACGAGCAGCAGCGGCTGATGCAGCGGGCACTGCAGCAGAACCTCCTGGCCATGACGGCCCAGCTGCCCATGAGCATCCGCATCAACAGCCAGGGCACGCGCTCGCCAGGTCAGTGCCGGCTCCGGCCCCCTGCCCCGGCCGAGCCCCCGGCCCCGGCGGGCTCCGTAACCCGGCTCTCCCCGGCAGAGAACCGCCCGGACGCCGCCACCGCCAGCAGCAACGGCACCAACAGCATCAGCATGTCGGTGGAGATCAACGGGATCGTCTACACAGGTGAGAGGCTCCCCCAGACCCCACTGCTGTGAGTGGGGTTGCTCCACCACTGCCAGCCCCAGCAGCCCCGGTGGCCTCACCCGCTCCTACCGCCCTTCACCCCGTTCCATGGCTGGTCCAGCAGCCACACCACCCCCAGCTCAGACCCCGCTCTCTCCCCAGGTGTGCTGTTCGCCCAGACGCCCGGCCCTTCCTCCTCCTCTTCCTCCTCCTCCTCCTCTGCCTACAGCAAAGGCAACGGCAGCGGCAGCCGGAGCAGTGGCAGCGGCGGCAGCGGGGTGGGAAGCGGTGGTGGGAACGTGCCCCCCGCCCCGGCCGGCCTGGCTGTGCCCCCCAGCTCTACCTCCAACAGCGCTTCGCCTTAACGCCCCGGCCCCCCGGCCCCCTGAACCCGGCGGCCATGGAGGGATCACCGGGGTCTCACCACGGTGTCACCGGGGTCCCGCCGGCTCTCACTGGGGTCTCGCTCGAGGTCTTGCCAGGGTCTCAATGGGATTTCACTGGGATCTCACCAGGTTTTCACTGGGGCCTCACCAGGGTCTCGCTGGGATCTCGCCTGAGGTCTTGCCAGGGTTTCTCTGGGGTCTCATCAGGGTCTCACCAGACTCTGCCCTTGTTCTCGTGTTGTTGGATTTTCCTTTTCCAGGCAGAAAAGCTTTAGCCCGGGGGGTTTTGCCAGAGCCGCCGGCTGTCCGGCTGCGCCACTCCGGGACCGTTTACCTCACTCACATCACACTTTGCACTGTACATTTATTATTATTATTATTATTGTAATTATTATTATTTTTTAACTCGTGTTACCTCCAGACAGACGCACGGACGCCTGCTGACGCGAGCTCTAGCGAAACCCCCCGGAATTCTAAAGGATAAAAACCCAAGAATCCTAAAAAAATTGGAAATAGGGAGATATTTTATTCGTTTCCATCCTTTTCCCTCTGTTATTTTGGGAACCCCACTCTGCAGGATTTTAAGAGGTTGTTTTTGGTTGTTTTGTAAATAGCTTCTATTTTATTCTCTAAACAGAAGAAGAATCAAACTTTTAACATGCAAATGATATATATTAGTCTTCATCAGGGAAAACGGGAGCTTGGAAAAACATTGGAATCTCCTTTCTCCTCTCATTATCGGTGGTTGGGTCCAGCTCTGCTCCTTCCCCCACTGGTAAATCCTAATTTTTTTTCCTTCCCCCGCATAGAACTACTGTCTAAAGCCAATTTGGGCTTATTTCCTCCAAAAATAAGCAGGATCCAGAGGATGGGATGCTCAGGGCTGCGGGACGCTCCAGAGGCCGTGGAGGACCCGAAGGACCCGAGGATTTATTTTAAGCCTCACAATCTCATTTTTTACCGTTCCCCCCCCAAAATTCACCCACATCTGCGTGAGACACAATCCGACCCGATACCGAAACCCCCCGCCCCCCTCGGTATCTCCATTCTCAGGTTCCCACCTGGAGCACAGGGTTTTCCCCTTTCCCCAGGTGCCCGGGGGGTCTGGGCTGGTGGGACCCCCCCCACTTTATTTTTAATTTCACTCGGGGAAGTGGCGATCTCAGGGGATTTGGGGTTTTTCCAGCTGGTTTTGTTGTTTTCAGCCTTTTTTTCCGTGCTGGAATCCCCTTGGTGGCTCTGTGGGGGGTCTTGGTGGCTCCATGGACCCTTTAGGGAGGTCTGGGGGGTCCGTCCAGCTCCTGCTGCTGTTGGGGTCCAGCCCAGCTCCCCGCAAGGAGAAATTCCAAGGGGGAATTTTCATGCCCAGGGTGGGCTTAGATTTTCTTAGTGATTTTTTTGCATTGTACAGTCACTATTTTGGGTTGTTTTGGGGTTTTTTTAATTATTTTACCTCTCCCCCTTTTCCTCTCCCCCTTTATTTTTGTTTTTGAGAGCGGGTGACTTTCCACTTTATTTTTCTTTTTGCATATCGATTTAAAAATAATAAAAAAAAGCCTAAATCAGTTTCTTGGGTGGGGGGTTGGAAAGAAAATTAAACTGAAGAAGCTGCCCCAGCTGCAGCCGCCCCCCCCCCCAGCGTTGCGTATCTTAACTCAGGTAAAAAAGGAAAACGAGAAAAGAAAAAAAAACCACAAAAGACAAAAAAAAGAAAAAAAAAGAATAAAAAAATAAACCACATTCTACCTCTGAGCGCGGCGGCCTCGGGCGCACCCGGGCCCCGGTGAAAGATTTCAGTTTTGCAAAACATTCAGGTATTGAGACTTTTTGATTATTATTAAAAAAAAAAAAATAAAAAATTAAAAAAAAAAAAGAGAAAATAAAGTAAAAACACTGAAAGTTTACATTTTATAATAACATTATTATACAGATTGTATTTAAACGTCAGAATATTTAAGACAATTGTAACCCTGTAAAGTGAAGAAATATTAAAAAAAAAAAAAAAAAAAAAAAAGTTGTGTTGTTTGGGGATTGTTACCCAGGGGTGCCCAGAGGGTGGTGTGGGGTGTCCATAGAGTGTCCTTATAAATGTGGGGTGTCCATGGGCCTGTAGTGTGTCTGCAGGGCTGTGGGGTGCTCATGGAGTTCACACGAAGCTGTGGGTGCCAATAGGGGATCCACAGGACTGTGGGCTGTCCATGGGGCGCCTAAAGGGCTGTGGGGTGTCCATAGGATTATGGGGTGTCCATGGGGTGCCTATAGAGAGCCATGGGGTGTCCGCAGGGTACCCGTAGGCCCGTGGGGTGTCCGCGGGATCTCTGTAGGGTTATGGGGTGTCCATGGGGTGTCCACAGGTGCCCGTAGGCCCGTGGGGTGTCCACGGGATCTCTGTAGGGTTATGGGGTGTCCATGGGGTGTCCATGGGGTGTCCAGAGGTGCCCGCAGGCCCGTGGGGTGTCCGCGGGATCTCTGTAGGGTTTTGGGGTGCCCTGGGGGTCCCTTTGGGTCCCCACGGGGCTGCGGGTGCCCCGGGTCACCCATCCAGGGCCGGCCGGGGCGGACCCCGCTGAGCTTCCTGCCGCGTGCGCAGCTCCCTCCCCGCGCGGCAGAGCGGCCGCGGCGGCGCCGCCTCTGATTGGCCGGCGAGGGGCGGGGGAGGCGGCGCTCTGGGCCGCGGCCGCGCTCTCTGTGGCCCTGGCGGACCGCGAAGATGGCGGCGCCCATGGAGGTGGCGCTGGTGTCGGACGCGGCGGGGCCGCTCTGCAACTGCTCGGTCTGGGAGCTGCACTCGGGCTCGGCCTTGCCCGGGTACCGCGGCGGCAACAGCGGCCCGCGCGGGCTGGCGCTGCTGGGCGGCGAGCACCTGCTGGGGGCCCAGCTCGGCAAGAGCTACATCAACGTTTGGGAGCTCCAGAGGAAGGTACCGGCGCGGCGGGCGGGCCCGGGCGGGCGTGGCTCGGGGGACGCCTCCGGGCACCGCGGGTCCGGTGGGGGTGTGACGGGGCATCCCTCCGTGGGGACCCCCCGGCCCTTTGGGGAGGGGCCCCTCCCTCCACAGAGCCCCTCCATCTCCCCTCCCTCCACAGAGCCCCTCCATCTCCATGGTCAGACCCTGCCTTGACCTCTCTCTCCACAAAGACCCCCCGTGGTCCCTCTCTTCATAGAAACCCCCACTATGGTCAGACACCCCCCTAACGCCCCCTCTCTCCATAGAGACCCCCTTCTGTATGGTCAGACACCTCCCCGTGGCCCCTTTCTCCACAAAGGCACCCCCATCTCCATGGCCAGACCCCCCATCACTACAGGCAGGTGCCTGCAGGACCCCCAGTGAGGCCCCTGAGCCCCACCTCGGGGGGCCCTGCCTGCAGCCCCTTCGCTGCTGTGCTGAGTGCCCGCTGTGCTCTCTCTGCCCCAGGACCAGCTGCAGCAGAAGATCATCTGCCCCGGGCCCGTGACCTGCCTGACGGCCTCTCCCAACGGGCTCTACATCCTGGCAGGGGTCGCCGAGAGCATCTACCTGTGGGAGGTACGGGGTCCTGGGAGCTCAGGGACGTGCAGAGCCACACCCTGGGCAGTCAGGGAGTGCCCCGTCCTTTTGGCAGTGCCTCCATCCCTCAGGTATCCCTAAATCCCCCATCCCAGGCCTCCGCAGCCTGTGGGGCACCTTATCAAAGCAGGAGGGGGAGAAATTCCGGGAGAGGCTTCGCTCTGCCCTTTCCTTCTCGCTCCAAGAGGCTCCTGGTGACTCAGGGGCCAGGTGTTGCTCCCTCAAGGCAGCATCGCAGGGCCTGGTTTTTCTCCAGCGCTTCTCCCACATTTCAGCCGCGTGTTTGCGTGTGCCCAGGGTGCCAGCAGCCCCTGCTGTGCTCTGCTCGTTGTCCTGCTGGTTAAGTACTCCTGGATTACGTGGGATTACACTGCGTTCCCGGCACACCACCGAGCAAATAAAAGCAGTAGCTTGTCCTGAGCCTGGGATTAAACCCCGGGATGCCTCACCTGGAGAGCTCCCCGTGCCAGGGGAGGTTTGAGCCTTGTGGTGTGGGCTGCATTTCCCTGCAGTCCCGGGCACACACAGCTGTTCTGGCTGCAGCTCCGTGGTGTCACTCGCTGCCCGTGAGGTGCCAATGGGCTCCTGTGCTCAACAGAGCCTCCCCTTTATCCCTGCTGCACTGAGGGCAGAGCACCACGTTATCCCACGACATCTCAGTCCTTGATGCTCTCCTGCCCTTCCCCTCACTCCAGGTATCCAACGGGAACCTCCTCGCCATCCTGAACCGACACTACCAGGACCTCACGTGCCTCTGCTTCACCGATGACAGCAGCCACTTCCTCTCGGGGGCCAAGGACTGCCTGGCCCTGGTGTGGAACCTCTACAAGTAAGGGGGCCGGGGGCACAGGGAGCATCAGGTAGGGATGCTGGAGTGAGAGATCCACGTGTCCTGTAGGCAGGATCAGCTCTGGCTGAGCCCACGTCCCAGCTGGGTCTGTGCCATCCCTGGGGGCTCTGACACGAGTGGCGTCCTCGTGGACAGGGAGGTTTTCCCTGAGGTCTTACGGGGATTTCTTGGGAATGTCATGTGGCTCTGACTCCTTTTCCTGGGTGACACAGAGTGGACTGTGCCCTTCCCTTGCCAATGGCAGCCAATGTCTCTGTTCCTCCGGGATGGGGAGCTCAGCTGTGGCCCTGAGCCTCAGTATCCATGTGCTGTGGCCACCAGCAGCTCCCGTGTTCCGCTTGGTGCCTGCAGCCAGGAGAGCAGCCAGGAGAGCAGCCAAGAGCAGAGCCTGGCCCAGCTCCCCAAAGGGCTCTGCCCTGGCTGACCCCCCGTGCTGCCCCTCTCTGCTGTCCCCACAGCATCCTGCAGGCAGAGCCCTCCCAGATCCCCGACCCCCGGCACGTCTGGTCCCGGCACAGCCTCCCCATCACCGACCTGTGCTGCGGCTTCGGAGGGCCCCTGGCACGGGCTGCCACCGCTTCCCTCGACCAGACAGCCAAGGTGAGGCTCATTCCAGAGGTGCCAGACCCTGCGGGGTCAAAGCCGGGCTCCGCCAGGCAGCAGGAAGTTGTCCCTGTCCCCAAGCTGTCCCGAAGCTTTCCCGGCTTGCAGAGGCTGAATTTCTTGGCTGTCTCTGCAATGACTCAGAGCTGCCAGACCTGGGCTCTGCTTCTCCAACACCAGCAGTTTCTCTGCACCTGCCCCTGGGCTGGGCTGCTGCAGTCCCTGGGAATGTCAGGGTCAGCTCCTCTGATCCCACTGCTGATGTCCACAGGGAGCAGAGCAGGCTGGAGCCTGTAGGGAGGGTGGTGCCCTGGGGGCAGGACGGGCACGGAGGGGGTTCAGGGCTGTTGTGGAGCTGCCTTGGAAACTTCTCTCCTGGCCACAGAGAGGCTGATACTGGGTTCTGCCCTGGCTCTGCCTTGGACTCAGTTTCCCAGCTGCAGACAGGAAGGGATGCCGGGGTGGGATGCTGAGGTGCCAGTTTGGGATGCCAGGGTGCCTCCAGTCCTGCCATTAACACTCCATGATTTCCTGTCCCTTCTCATGCCAGCTCTGGGAAATCTCCTCCGGGGAGCTCCTGCTGTCTGTGCTCTTTGACGTGGGGATCATGGCTGTGACTCTGGATCTCTCAGAGTACCACATGTTCTGTGGTGGCATGGATGGGTCCATCTTCCAGGTCGATCTCTGCACTTGGGTGAGTACATGGGGCTGTGGGTGTGCCCTGTCACCCCGAGCCACCGTAACTTCCTTGCTGGGACTAGTGTGACCTGCCAGGGCATGGGAGGGCCTGGGTCCCCTGTGTCTCCCCTGCCCCCTCCAGACACGGTGATGAACCTGCAGGCTTTAGCCTTCCTGAATTTTAACCCCTCTCCCTTCCTTCCTTCATTTCTGCAGCCGGTCCAGAGAGACCGGACCTTCCAGACAGAGCGGGAGAACGGGAAGGTCTTCAAAGGGCACAGGTGAGGGACCAGACATACCTGCCAGCCCCCGTCTGCCCACCTCACCAGCTTCTGGGGTCATCCCAAGTTTAAACACCCTCTTCCCCATTCCAGGAACCAGGTGACGTGTCTGTCAGTCTCCACGGACGGCAGCCTCCTGCTCTCGGGCTCTCACGACGAGACCGTCCGGCTGTGGGACATCCAGAGCAAGCAGTGCCTGAAGACGATGAATCACAAAGGTAGGAATGTCCTTATCTCCGGGATCCTTGCTGCCAGAGGCCGCTGGTGTCTCACCTGTGCTGCCCTGAGCACTCCAGGTGTGTCTCTGCCCCTTGGCTCACGCCCCGGGAAGGGCAGAGGCACTAGAGGGAGCCTTGGCTGTCTGGAGCGATGCTGTGACCTGGCCCATGTGTTAATAACCCCCACCCTGTGCACTGTCAGGAGTGAGTCATGGATTTCACCTCGTCACTGAGGTCACCCGGGATCTTCCTCCTTGTTTTCCCAAGGGAGCAGTCACCCCACGCACACCCACCGTGTCTGGAGAGGACATGGCTCTGTGACCCCGCAGTGAGCACTCGTGAGCTCATGGGGCCTGAAGCGAATCCCATATGAGCAGTCGTCTGGGATTTCAGTCTGATGGCTCTGATAAGCTGTGTGGAGCAGCAGTCAGGTGCCTCAGAGCAAGGGAACGTTTGCCCCTCCTGTTGCTAACTGGGTTCCTTCCCCAGTTGTGGTGGTCTCCAGTCCCTGGTGCCATGCTGGCCAGTGAGGTTGGCACTGCTGCTCTTGGGCATGGCCCAAACCCTCTGGAAGGTGATGGTGGGGACAGCCAGACCCTGTTCCCCTGCAGTGGTTGGGCTGCTGCCTCAGGGCAGTCTCTGGAAGCCAGGCTGCCTCCAGACCCTTTCCCTCTTCCCTCTGGCAGCCAAGGACCGTCCCTAATTGAGACCCACTGCAGCGCCCGTCCGGCCTGGCGCCACTGGCATTAGAGGGGGAAAACAGACGGAATCAGAGGAGAGTGGATGGACTGGGCTCTTCCCAGGAGGGGCAGGACTGGGCTGACCCCGAGCTGTGGGTGCTCTGCAGCCTCTTCTGGCTCCCTGCTGCCTGTGGGCAGGGATTTGTCTCCCCTGGCACCAACACCACCCCGCTGTGCTGTGTGTGCTCCGCCAAGCCCGGGAGCGGGCTGGGAGCCCACCACCCCTGAGCCTTGTCCTGGGTCTGGGGTCCCCATGGGGTCCCTGCAGCCTCCCTGCAGGGGGGGCTCTGCTGCCCCAGCCCGACCCCCACTCTGTGGGGCAGCGCTGATGTCCGTGGGTCCCCGTTCTCCCTCGGCCTGTCCGAGCAGCAGCGTGAGCCCCCGGCAAGGTCTGTCCCTGCTGCTGCCCTGTGCCCCTGCAGTGCCTCCCTGCCCAAGGCAGGGGTGACACGGGCTCTGCCGTGGTGACATGACAGCAGCCTCCAGCCCGGCGTCCTCGGGACAGCGCGGTCCCTCTGCACGCGGGTGCCGGGGGCACGCAGGGCCTGCTGCCCTCCCTCCCCTCGTGACGCTGATCGGAGCAGCTGGAGTGTGGCTCGGGACTGGGCTTGGGGGGCTGTGACACCAAGGGTGGCTTGTCCTTGGTGGAGACAGAGCGTGGGCAGGCAGGTGGACTCTGAGAAGTTGGGCTGCTGCTCTGGGGTGATGAGCGGTGCTGGCAAGGCAGAGCTGCTCTCTGTCACTGCATGGCCAGCACCACTGTGGGGAGGCAGGAAACCAGGTCTGGGGATCTCTGGGCTCATTCCCAAGATTTGCTCCTCTCCACCTTTCCTGTCTCATCCTCTCAAACTGCTCCATGAGCTGCTGGTTCGGTGGGAATGTCGCTGCTGGACCCTTGCCTCAGGAGCCTGGTCTTTAGGGAGGGAGTGAAGCCATGGGTTTATTACAGCAAAGTTGCCCAGGAGCAGTTTTGGGACTGGGTGTTTGGCAGAGCCTCTGCTCTGCTGGTGGGTCCAGCCTTGGATCCAGGAGGAGCAGGCTCTGGAGCAGGAGATGATGGTGACAGAGCCCTCGTCCGTGTCAGAGCTGCTTGTGTCCATCTCCTCTGCAGAGACTGAAAGCTTCCGACAGCTCTGGGGCCCCAACAGACCCCCTCCCTCACCCTGTGCCTTCGCTGCTGCACTGGCAGCCCCTGCTCAGGTGCATCTGGACACTCTTCACCTTTCCCTTTGGCCGTGGGAGATGGATGGTCGAGCTTTGGTAGCAGTGGCTGAGCTGCTGGAGGGGGGCTGGGGGGCAGCGCTGTCTGATGGGGAGAGCTCCGGGCATGGGGGCAGCGGTGGGGGCTTCGCAGCGAGCACGAGTTGGGAGGGGGCGGAGGGGGCTGCTGCCAGAAAGCAGCCGCCTGTGTGGGTAAACGCTGTAATTAACGCCCTCATTAGCTCTGCAGGTGAGAGCTGTGATGGATCGAGGCAGCACAGAGCTGCGGGCGCGGCGCTGCTGATGAATGGTGGCTCTGCGGGGGGGTCGAGCCTGGTGGGGGCTCCCACTCCCCCAGACCCCCCTGGGGTGCCGGGCCCGAAGCTGGAGCCGCAGCCCCGAACAGGGAGCGCTGCTGGGGAGGGAGAGAGTCCTGGCACTGCCAGCACCAGGGTCACACTCGCTGTTCTCGGGGCTGCCCAGAGGCAAACCCAGCCTGACCTGTCCCACTGTCCCGTGCCAGGTCCGGTGACAAACGCCTTCATCGTGCTGGCCCCTGCCAACATGTTCAACCCCGACGGGAAGCCCAGCGTGCCCCTGCCCAAGTTCAGCAAACACCTGCACGGCACCGAGAGCAGCGACGAGCCGGGCACTGAGGGGGTGACGCTGCGCCTGGGGCTGCACCAGCAGGTACGGGGGGCAAGTGGGCGGCTGGGGAGGGGGGACGAACATCAGGGAGGGGTTGTGCTGGAGCAAAGCTTCTCCTCCAGCTGGTGAAACCCGTTCCTGCTCCCTCCCGCTCCCTCCCTGTCCTGGCTGCTGCAGTCATTTGTCCTCCCAGCCCCGTGCTGCAGCGTGGGCTGGCTCTGCTGTCCCACTATTCCTTGGTCCTGGCATGGCCATCCCCTGCCAGGGGGGTCCCAAACTATCAGTGTCCTATCCATCCCAACCTCTCTGACAGTGGTCCCAGAGCTGCTCCCCTCTGTCCCTGGGCGAGTGAGGGCGACAGTCCTGCCACAGCTGATGGACGGACCTCCCTGCTGGGGAGGTGGCAGCAGGACAGGGGGGCTGTTTGCCTGGCAGAGGTGACAGCAGGATCACCCTGGGTCCCTCCCATGGAGAACCCTGCCCAGGGTCACTGGGATAAGGTCCTTGTCTGCTCTGCCAATACGTCTGGTCTGGTCCCCACAGGAGCCTGGGCAGAGCTACCTGGAGAAGGCAGAGAGGATGTACTCGCAGATGTATTTGACGAGGGAAAAGGTGAGAGCTGCTCCCAGGCTGGGAATCCGGTACAGACCCCTTGGGGGGTCCTTGTCTGCTGATCTGACTCGTGGGGCCTGGGACAAGTCGGGAACTGGGGGGAAGAGCCCTGGAATCTGAAGGGTTTGGGGTTTCCTGTTGTGGAGGGAGCAGCAACCTCCACCTGCCAGAGCTGAGGCACTGATGCTCGTCTGTTGTGTTTTCCTGTCGCAGAACCTGGTGGGAGACCAGGAGCACCTGACGATCCAGGTGAGCGAGCTGGAGGAGGAGGTGAGCAACCTCCGGAAAATCAACAAGGACCTCTTTAACTTCTCCGCTCGCATCATCACCAATCCAGCCAAGTGAAGAGGCTCCCCCCACCCTCGCACCCCTCCACCTCTCCCTGCCCACCCTTGGGCACTTGCCTGGCCGGCGGAGCACACCCGGCTCCCTCCCCGCTGACCCGGCACGCGCCGCGCTCGCCCGCTCGGGGACAGGGGACAGCCCAGCACGGGGGCTGCGGGCGGGGCAGCACAGGGACCGCGTTCACCCCCACGCGGGGCCGGGGGGCACTCGGGGGCACTTGGGCAGCCGCTGCGGGAGAGCTCAGGATGCAGCTTCTGCTCGTTCCCCACCTCTTCCTCTGCCCCTTTTTTTGTTTCTTTTTGTTACTTGACCCTGCAGTGCAGACAGGAAAGTGTTTTTCTCTCAATACCGTTTTGAGATTGGATTTTGGAGACCCCCTTCTGCCCACCCTGCCCTGGGGATCGCTGCTCGGTGCTGCCGGACCCCGCTCAGTGGGACCCTGCGCTCGGGACAGCGGGGGCTGAGCGGCTCCTGCTCCGGGGGGTGCCCGGGGCCGTGGGGGTCTGCTGAGACAGGCAGGGGGTCCCTGGGCACCAGGGCAGAGGATGGGGCACCCACCCCGTCCAGTGGGCAGGGCCTGGGGGAGGCCCTGGGCTCAGTGTGCGGGCGGTGGTTTTGGGGCACAGGGGGTCACTCCGGGGAGGGGCAGGGGGGCCAGCAAGGTGCTATTTCCAGTCTCGTCAGTTGACAATTTATATATATTTGGATCCGACGACTCTGTTTTCACGGTGTTTGGGGACTCGGCCTTTTGTATTGTCACAGCATGGCAGCGGGGGTTGTGGGTTTTGTTTAGGTTTATTTTTTACATAAAAGATTTGTTTTTATAGTGAAAGATGCCTGAGTTAGTTTCTTTCTTTAACATCCCTTGGGTGGCCACAGACCTCAACCACCCATCACTGTGTCCATGGGGCTGCCCGCTGGGAGCAGGGAAGCAATTCCTGATGCCTGAGCTGCCCATCACCTTCACCCCAGAGGTCCCTCCCTGCCCTTACAGGGTGTCGATGTGTCCTGTGGCCACCCCTCTGTGCCCCTCCCCGTTCAATATACCAGACCCAAGCACAGATGATTTCAATTGCACTTTAAAACCAGAGTGTTTGTGTGGCCCCAGCTCCTGCCAGCTCCCCAGAAAATGCTTTTAGCTTAATCACCCGAGTCTGTTCCTTTTACTTCCTCTCCTGCTCCTCATCTTCCTCCTGACACTTTGGATCAACATTCATCAGCTGCAGCCGGGAACATTGCCCTGAGCCAGGGGCTGCAGTGAGGGCAGAGGTGGGAGCATGTCCCTGCTGCAGGGAGCCCCCCGAGATCCCCAGGGATACAGCCCCCAACCAAACCCAGACCTCAGTGCTCCCAGTCATCCCACACTTTCCCAGTCCCCCCACTGGGGTTCCTGTCAGGGTGCTGCGCTTGGACAGAGCAGGAGGGAGGATGGGGCTTCCCAACTGTGCTGTACCCAGCATTTGGGGGGCTATTTCATACCAAGATCCTGTTGTTCCCCCTCCCCAGCTCCTGCCTGGACAGTGGGTGCTGTGCCGCACTTATGCCTGTGGAAAAGAGGTTCCGGGGGCTCCGTTGTCAGGATTCCATTCCAGGGGAGATCAGCACCCCTGACCCTCTGTGCCCTGGCAGGATTTGCTCTGCCCTCCCCCTGTGGGCCCAGCTCCGCAGAGGAATTCATTAGGCTGTGACTCATTACATTTATCTGGGGATCGATACTTTTTGCCAGATGGTTTTTGGCTCCGTCCTTCGCTTTTCCTTATTAATTTTGTGCAGCTCCAGCCCCAGTCGCTGCTGTTTGTGCTACCGGTGGTGGGGACCTCCAGGCTGGGCTGGGCCTCAGTTTCCCTGGTGAAGATGAGGAGGGTGACCCCGCGTCTTCCCCCTCAGTGGGGGAAGGCTGTACCTCTGCTTCCCTTCGCCCCTTCCCCGCACAGAGGACGAGTCCATCGGCCCTGGAACCCCCTGGCCTTGGGACCCCCGGATTTTGAGGCTGTGTCTCACACTGTGGAGGGATAGAGGGCCGGGGAGGAAGAGGGGCGCAGTTACCGGGACGGGGGAGACAATTTACGGCTCCGGCCCCGGCTCAGAGACCGCCCCGAGGGGCTTTTCCCGGGTCGGAGAGGGAGGAGGAAGAGGAGGAGGAAGGTCCAGGAGTCTAAAGGCGGCCGGGACCACCCAGAGAACAGCGGGGGCCTCTGTGCCGGGGGACCCCACGGTCAGAGCCCTCGGGCGGCAGCACCGCGCGGGCGGGGGCTCTCTTTTCTGCGGGGTGCGGCGAGGGGGACCCGCGTCGCGCGTGGGCGTGGACGGGGCGGCTGCGGGCGGATCCGGCGCTGGGTGGGCCGGGTCCAGAGTGACCCACCGCGCACCGGGGGCTTGGCGCTGCCCAGGGGGCCTCGGCGGGACCCGGCCGGTCCCTGCCCGCAGCCCGGGCCCTCCCCGGAGCCGCCCCCGGCGGAGCTCAAAGCGGCGGGGCCGGTGCGGGGCCGGTGCGGGGCCGGTGCGGGGCGCATGGAGGTGCTGCGGGCGCTCTGGCTGCTGGCGGCGGCGCTGGGGGCGGCGGGGGGACACCCGCATCCCTGCCGCGTCCCGGCCCCCCCGGGGCCCAGCCCCGGCCCGAGCCCCGGTCCCGCCGTGCGTGTCGGGGCGCTGCTGCCGCCCGCGCCCGCCCGCGCCCGGCTCCGCGCCGCGCTGGCCCGGGCCAGCGGTACCGGCCCCGGGGGGGACCCCGGCGGGGCGGCACTGCCCCACAACCTCAGCCTGGAGGTGGTGGGGGGCGGCCCGGCAGCGAGGGACCCCGGCTCGCTGGCGCGGTGGCTGTGCGGGACTCTGGCGGGACGCGGCGTGGCTGCCGTCCTGGCGCTGCCCCGCTCCCGCCGGGAGCTTCTCCAGCTCGACTTCCTCGCCGCCGCCCTCCAGGTCCCCTTCGTCAGCATCCTGGACACCCGCGGGCCGCTGCCCTTCCGAGCGCAGGTGAGACCCGAAGCGCCCGCACCTCACCGGCACCGGCCGGGCGCGCTCCCGGTCCCCGCTCCAGCCCCTGCTCGCCGGTTCCGTCCTTGTGCCCGTCACGGCTCCGTCCGTGCTCCTGTCTTGATCCCCGTCTTAACTCCGTTCCATCCCGCGGGTCCTCCTCCCGGCTCAGTCCTGCCTCCGATCCCGGTCCTGATGCCGGCTTCGATCTCAGCTCCCATTCCAAATCTATCCCAGTCCCTTATCCTTTCTGGATCTCGACTCCCTCGGGGCTCCATCCCGGTTTTCTCCCTCCATCTTGCCTCCCATCCTGGCCCCATCCCTCCTCCATTCCCTCCTCCATCCTGGTTCTACCCCAGCTTCACCCCGGGCCCCATCCTGGCTTTATCTGGCTCCAATCGCTGCTTTGTCCCAGCCCCCTTTTGGACCCCATTCCAGCCCTGTCCTGGCTCTATCCCAGCTCCCATCTCAGCTCCTTCCTGGCCCTCTGCCTGGCTCTTTCCCAGCCCCAATTCCAGCTCCCACTCCAAGGCAAATTCCCTGGTGCCTCTGGAAGCCCCTCATCCCTCAGCCCCAGTCCCATTCCCAGTCTGGCCCCAGAAGGACTCTGGGACATGTTCTGGCACTGGATTCCAGACAGGGAATGGGCAGAGGGTGGGCAGGGGGCACGAGGTGACCTCAGGGTGAGAGGGCCCGTGTCTGGTGCTGCCTCTGGGCACTTCCCGAGAGCAGGGGCACAGCCACGACCTCTGTGTGTCGGCAGAGCCCCTTCCACTTCCACATGGACCGGCAGAGCTCACTGGAAACTCTGGTGGACGTGCTGGTGAGCATCCTGCAGGCCAGTGACTGGCAGGAGACCAGCCTGGTGCTCTGCCACCCCTGGGACGTCGCCGGCTTCCTCAGCCTCTGGGCCCAACGCTCCCAGCTCTCCCTGCGCACCATCCTGGATCTGGGCTACCTGGATGAGCCCAGGGCCACCCGCTACCTGCAGCAGCACAGGGAGCACGTCAGGACCCTCTCCAGCCCGGTGCTGGTGCTGGGCTGCGACCTGCCCCGTGCTCGGCTCATCTTCCAGGCAGCCGAGGAGTCAGGGCTGCCCCCACAGGAATTCCACTGGATGCTGGGCTCCCCGCTCAGCGCCAGCGAGCTGCAGACTGAGGGGCTGCCCCCGGGGCTGCTGGCCTTCGGGGAGGTCAACCGGCCGCCGCTGGAGCTCTTTGTGCAGGACGCAGTGGGACTGATGTCACGGGCCATCGCCCGCGCCGCCCGCGGCCACCCCGACCCCGCGCTGCTGCAGACCACGAGCAACTGCAATGAGAGGCACCGGGCACCTGGCGAGTCCCCAGGGCTGTTCCTCGCCAGGTAAGGGGGGTACTGGGGGTACCCCCTTCCCCCTGTCCCGGCTCTTTGGTATTGGGGTGCATGGGGGGGCTGAGCCCCAGCCCTGGTACCAGTGGGCTCAGAGCAGGGCACTGCCCAGTGCTGTCCCCAGCGTGTGCAGCAGCCGCCATGGGGCTCAGCCCCCCCAGGACACGGTTTGTGCTGCACAAGGGGGGACGTGTCACTTCAGATCTCCCTAATGCTGCCCGAGCACTGTGGCTCTATAAATATTAATAACACTTGGCCCTGGCAGCACAGCGAGCTGCGGGGCAGCACAGCGGGGCCGCATCCTGCTGCTCCTCCCTGACCTTGTCCCTGTCCCAATTGGGCACATCCCACTCCCAGCCCCCGTCCCTGTCCCTTGGTCCCAGCTGACCTGGGACGCTGGAGCCGTGACATCCTCTCCTCGGCAGGTTCCTGGCCAACACGTCCTTCCACGGTCAGACGGGGCTGGTGCGTGTGGAGAAGGCGGCTCTGGTGCGGCCGGAGCAGCAATTCCACGTCTGGAGCCTGCGGCGGGACTCGCGGGGGGACCCCACCTGGGTGACGGTGGGCACGTGGAGCCACGGCAAGCTGGAGCTGGAGGAGGGCACGTGGCAGAGCCAGCGGCAGCACAGGAGCCCCGGCGAAGCGGCCGGGGGGGCCCGCGCGCGGCTGCGCGTGGTGACGCTGGTGGAGCACCCCTTCGTCTTCACCAGGGAGGTGGATGAGGAAGGGAACTGCCCAGCAGGGCAGCTCTGCCTGGACCCCGGCACCAACGACTCGGCCGTGCTGGACTCCCTCTTCGAGGAGCTCGGCGCCGGCAATGGCTCGGTGCCGCGGGAGTACAAGAAGTGCTGCTACGGGTACTGCATCGACCTGCTGGAGAAGCTGGCTGAGGACATGGCCTTCGACTTCGAGCTCTACATCGTGGGGGACGGGAAATACGGGGCCTGGAAGAACGGGCGCTGGACGGGACTGGTTGGGGACCTGCTCAGTGGCACGGCCCACATGGCCGTCACCTCCTTCAGCATCAACTCGGCGCGGAGCAAAGTCATCGACTTCACCAGCCCCTTCTTCTCCACCAGCCTGGGCATCCTGGTGAGGACCAAGGACACGGCGTCGCCCATCGGAGCCTTCATGTGGCCCCTGCACTGGACCATGTGGGTGGGGGTCTTCGTGGCACTGCACATGACGGCACTTTTCCTCACCCTCTACGAGTGGAAGAGCCCCTATGGCATGACCCCCCACGGCCGCAACCGCATGAAGATCTTCTCCTACTCCTCAGCCCTCAACCTGTGCTACGCCATCCTCTTTGGGCGCACTGTCTCCAGCAAGACACCCAAGTGCTGCACCGGCCGCTTCCTCATGAACCTCTGGGCCATCTTCTGCCTCCTGGTGCTTTCCAGCTACACAGCCAACCTGGCGGCTGTCATGGTGGGGGACAAGACCTTCGAGGAGCTCTCGGGCATCCACGACCCAAAGGTAGGCGAGTGTCTG